AGCAGGAATCAGGTACGTCTAAGGTCAACATCCCCTGGGGGAGGGAGCTTCAAGGTCATCTTGGGGAAGGGGATGGAGGAAGGACATCGTATACACTTGCTGCATTTCACTTGCACATTCACCCTTTGCCCTGAGAGGTTCTCCTTGAAGAGGGCCTGGGTAGGTGAGTCTCTTTCCATCTGTGGTCCACATTGCTGCCTAAGCTCTTCATTTCAGAATTCTAAGCCCTGCAGCTGCAAATAGCTGGAATGCCACAGTTTGTTAATCTCCAGAAAAAGAGACCAATTTTACAAAGACATCTGTATTTAAATTATCCCCATGTACTCTTTTATTAATGTGAATTAAATGGCTTAGGAAAGATTCAGGAAGGAAGAGTTCTATGCATTTATGAAAACAGACCTTTGCCTCTCCGGCTGGGATACAGTGTGCCATGGGGATGCGTCCTGAGTTAGACTGGGCAGCACAACTTCAGAAGCCCATCCCAAGTCTGATTTTCAGCATTTTATTTGCATAATGGGACTTCTGGGCTTATTTAAAACACATGCACTGCCATATTTTCCTGATTTGTAGAGGGGTCCTAAAGGCAGCTTTCTTTTTGTTCCCTCCCAGCACCTGTGCATAAGGAAAGAGTTGGTATGGTTTCTACAATATGATATTAAAATTGCCTTTTACTAAGCCTGGGACGACTTCACTTTGCTTTGTTTTGGGTGTTTTCCTCCTGTAACCAGACCCCTGGCAGCATGAGCCCAGCCTGCCCCCTTGAGTGTGCTGTGGCTGCAGGGGGGGCCATGGAGTGCTAGCCTTTGGCCGGGTTGCCAGATGGCAGGTGGGGAGTCACGCAGGACAGTTTGCCCCGTGGACTTGCACAGGGAGGGCAGCAGGAACGCTGCCGTGGGAGAGAACAAAGCTCAGACTGGGAAGAAGCCAACTCGTAAGCTGTCCATTCCATTTGTGTCAAGAACTTTCAGCATTTTCAAAGAACTTTTTCTTACCAGATTTTGCCAAAGTTAGGCCAGGTAGATCCTATTATCTTTTGATGTAGATGTTGAACGTGAGTGTCAGAGCAGTTACCTGAGGAGAATACAATATTGTGGTTAAAGATCCAGATTTTAGAGTCAGATGGAACTGGGTTGGATTCCCAAGTCTGCTCTTCGCAGCTGTGACCTGGGGCAAATTTTCACCGTGACCCAGGCAAGGACCCTGGTGTTGTACAAAAATGATGACTTTGAGAATTACATGGTATAATGAGTTTCTAAGTGCCTGGCACCTAGAGAACACTCAATAAATGATAGCAATTAAGTGAGCTGCTTAAAATCACATGGGATGAATCCAGGTCCTCTGATATCTAACTCAGGGCTGTTTTCTCCCATTACCAAGGAGGGGGCCTCAAAGAGAAAGAGCAATGAAATGAAAACCTATAGTTCCACCCCAACGTTTAAAAAGTCCTCGTTCAAGTTCAGCTGGCCTTCTGGTGTGGTAATTGTTCCCGAAACACTGTTGCCTCCTGTGTTATCAGAAAGCCGTTTGATGGTGAGCTGTGTTCCTTGGGTTTTTCCGTGACCAGGTGGGGCGAGGACCCAAGCCGGCAGCCTCTTGGCTTACTCAGGCGCTTTGCGTGTGGTGCCGAGAGTCAGTGAAGTCACATATGTGTAATGGAAGTGCCAAATGTGATGCTGGATCTGAAACAGGGCTGCCAACATGTATCCCCAGAGGCGTGGACAAATGTGACACCAACACTCCCAACACAGGCCTGGCTCCTATTTTCTGTCTGTGATTTTTGAATTGGTCTTTCCAGTCCAGTTTCCCTTTTATCCAGCTTTAATTTGAAAACTGAAATGGAAATTGGAATCTTTTGTCTGCATCCCCACTCGACCCCCTCCACCTTTTTGCCTTTACTAAAAATAAGGCACCACGCTCACATTTTAATTGTCTGGGTTCAAGGAGAGGCAGAATCGAGGCATCTGCACACAGCACATTTCAGTCGGATGCTCTCTTGTGTTCTGCTTCCCTGGGGAAGAGGAAGTGAGGCTGGGGTGCCTCTCCAGGGACTTGTGCCCTTATCTTCCACGTTGCCAGTCAAGGAGAAGAGCCAAGGAGTCTTTCTCACTTGCTTCTTCATAATTTTCAATTTCATTGCATTATAAATAGAGCTGGACAGAGACATCCCCGTGGGAGCCAACCTCCTGATTTTTTGCCCCTTTAAACTATTTTTAAGACATTTGTTCAGCATTTATTCAGAGAAGAGGCTGAGACATATGTGGGGGAAGGGTGAGGAGGAAGGACCACTAGTGTCTAGACTTAGGTTTGTCTCTAATTTCCCCTGTGGATCAGCTCTGGCCCCAAGTCTACATGCTTCCTGCAAGAAAACACATCTTCATTGGACTCATCGTTCTTGGAGGACAGTTTGGGGACCATCTGCGGTTGCTCCATCAATTCCCCTGGGAGTTCCGTCTCCCACTCCAAGCAGCTTATCAAAGATTTCTTTTCAGTTCTCTCCCAGAGAAAGGTTCTGGCACATAGCTTTTTTTTTTTTTTTTCATTTTCGTTAATTGCTAGCGATGATTTAAATGCTCCTTGTAGATTGATGCCTGGGACAGCCTGCTGGCTAGATATTCCTGAATTTGGCTCTGATATTAGACTGCTTGAAATGAAACTGTCCTTTCTGCACCTTTTGTCTATCTTTTTTTTTTTTAACATCTTTATTGGAGTATAATTGCTTTACAGTGATGTGTTCGTTTCTGACGTATAACAAAGTGAATCAGCTATACATGTACATATATCCCCATCTCCCCTACCTCTTGCATCTCCCTCCCTCCCACCCTCCCTACCGACCCTTCTAGCTGATCACAAAGCACCGAGGTGATCTCCCTGTGCCATGCGACTGATTCCTACTAGCTATCAACTTTACATTTGGTAGTGTATATGTGTCCATGCCACTCTCTCACTTTGTCCCAGCTTACCCTTCCTCCTCCCTGTGTCCTCAAGTCCATTCTCTAGTAGGTCTGCGTCTTTATTCCCGTCTTGCCCCTAGGTTCTTCATGACCTTTTTTTTTTTT